GAAAATAGTTCATAGCTCACAGCGAAGATATACCCTAGTGAGAAAGAAGGATTCTAGGAAAGGGACATGACAACCAGGAATAACCAGGGACATTAAGGATAGCATCAAATTGCAAAATTACTTACAATGTGGCAAAGATTAGTGGTAAGTCAGAGCATTGGGAAAATTTTAAAAACCAGCAAAAGCTGACCAAACAATTAAGAGGTAGGCAATAAAATCAGGGAAGCTGAGGATGACTCAAAGGGTCCGCAGTGGGGTAAAGGCAGATTAAGGAAATGGGCAAAAGATTGGCAGATGGGATTTAATATGGGAAAATGTGAGGTTACACACTTTGGCAGAAAGAATAGAGCAGCTGACTATTATTTCAATGGAGAAAGTATGCAGAAAGCTACAGAACGGAGGGGTTTGGGAGTCATTGCAAATGAATCACAAAAAGCCAGCTTAGAATTTCAGCAGGTAATAGGGAAGGCAAATGTAATTGTTAGTCTTACTTCAAAGAGTACAGAAATAGGGAAATCTTGCTATGGCTACACAAGTTACTCATCAGACCACAGCTGGAGTACTGTGAACAGTTTTGCTCCCCTTATCTAAGGAAAGATACACTGACATTGGAGGCACATCTCAGGGTATAATCTCAGAATAATGGGTTAGACATTTAAGACTCAGATGAGGAGAAATTTCTTCTTTCAGAGGGTAATAAATCTGTGGATTTCTTCACTGCAGAAGGCTGCCTAGGCCAGATCATTCAAGGCTGATGTAGATATATTTTTAATTAGGAAGGGGAATCGAAGGGTATGGGGGGAAGGGCAGGAAAGTGGAATTGAGGATTACCAGGTCAGCCATGAACTCATTGAATAGCAGAGCAGACTCAATGGGCTGAATGGCCTACTTCTGCTCCTGTGCCTTACGGTCATTGTCACGTTGTTGTTTGTGGGTACTAGGATAGGCACAGTGGCCTCTTTCTGTGCCGGAGCTTCTCCATGGTTATATGGACATCACCATCACTGTAACAGGACTTACTTTTCTCTCCCTAATACACACATTATTTGTTGTGTGAGGACAGGTTTGGAGGAAGACCTTTGCATCATTTGAACACTGTACCTTACACCCACTTGCTGAACCCCTTCCCTGTCCTGCCTGTTTTCAGATCTGCAGGGAGCGTCCAGTAAAGCTAGCTCTTTGACCAAATCTAATAAAGTTGAAGTTGTTCGAATTGGTCTGACGGAGTGGTAGAAGAGGCTGCAGGGGGCTGAATGGCCTCCTCCTCCTTTATCTTCCAAGGCCCTGGTGACTCTCGGGAACCTTATAATTCCACGTTGCTGCACCAGTCCAGCTTTTGGATTTGCGGGCGAACGAACAGAATCTATGCTGCCTTCAGCCAATACGCACATTCAGTTAGCACTGGGCCCTGATAGCAATCAGGAAGGGACTTGCTGCTCTAGTGTCGGCTTCTTATTGCTGTCGGCCTGCCTGAAGCGTACGAATGAAAGCGGGGAGTTTCTCTCTTGTCCTGGCCCGACATTGATCCCTCAACCAACGGCTCCAGAAAGCACAGCCAAGGGTCGGACTTCTCTGTGTGAAAATTGGCTGAACAATGGTTTGCATTTTCGACTTTTACTGAGAGCTGATGCAGCAAGCTGATGCTGCACTAATGGCACCGAGTGACTGACCACACGCTGAACGGGTGAAGTTGGTGTAAGGGACAGCATGGTGGCTGGAAGATGTTGTGGTGATCCAATACAGCTAAAAGCTGGCTTGGCAGCCAGCCTGGGGGGAGCGGGGGCGGGGGTAGATGTTTTGAGCTGGATATCCTACAGTGGAAAGACAGTCATGGTTCCAGGGTGGATCTCGTTTTCCAAGCTGCAATGTTAAGCTGACTTTCGCTGTAAGACTGACAATTCCCCATCGGAGAATAAGAGCCTTCTCCACAGTGTTCTGGTCAATATTTATCCCTCAAGCAGCATCGCTCAAATCGTAATCTCTGTTCTTTATTAACTCATTGCCTCTTTTGGGATTTCACTGGGTACAAACTGGTGACCATGTTCCTTCACAGCAGCACTAATTTAAAACAAAGACACTTTGTAGAGTCAATCATTGCACAGAAGGAAGCCATTGGCTCCTTTGTACACATTCCCATTAACCTCACTCCCCTGCGCTATCCCCACGGCTTTACGTTCCCCAAATGTCCATTTCCTTCTGAAATCATCCATACAAGGGCTTCAGATATCTATACTTGACACCTCAAAAACTACACTAGAATTTGCCCCTTTAACTCTGTGCACTGTGAACATGTCGAGGAGGATGGAGAGTGCAGGTGGGTAGTATATGCAGGAAGATTTGAATATCTGAAACTAATGTATAGTCAGCATATATCCAAAAGGAGAAAACATAGTGTAACATCTCTGTTTACCCTGATCAACAAAAAAAAGTTGATGAAGTGAGTGACAGAAGTGGAGCAAAATGTTAGTGTTCTTGATTATAGAGTTTTAAAGATTCTTTCACTTTTCAAACAACTGCATTGCAAGGAAATCAACTGTGTGCGTCAATTTTATATGTTGGGATTATCTAACTCTGTCTGAAGCAACTGGAAAAAAAGTCAATCCAGTTACTTATTGCTAACCAACATAGCACCTTGAAACAAAGTAACTGGTTTACATGCTGGAAACAATGTGCTTCATCAACCAGTTATTAACTACTGAGGGCAATGTTCATTAAAATACCATTTGGGATTATATGCTTAAGGCTTTTAAGGTGACAAAACAATCGTTAGAGGAGATGTTTCCAGTTCCAGACAAGACCACAACTATAAATATAAGACAGTCACTAATAAATCCAGAAGGGTAGTTCAGAAAAAAAAGCCTTTGCTCATAGAACATAGAACTCACCATCACAAGGAATAGTTGAGATGAATTAAATAGATCTACTTAAGAGTCAGCTAGGGAAGCACATCGGGGTGAATGGAATATGTTGATGAGGGTTGAATGAAAAAAGGTTCTGGACCTGTCAGACAAACTAGAATGTTTTTGTGTTGTAAATGCTATGTATGTAATCGCTTATCAACCCTTGCTCTCCCAAACCCAAAGATTGTGGAGCTGAATTTTTAACAGAGTTAGGCACATTAGTTGGTTTGCAGCTTTCCCAGCATGTTCCATCTCCAACCATTTGGCACATGTCTGTTTCTGGTACGGACTGGGATGGCTATCCATTCACGTGCAGCAGGTAGCCACTTTGGCCCTGACCAGAATGAAAATCCAGCCCGTACTCTACATTAGATCATTGTAACTATACTACACACTAGGTACTTCCTTGTATCAGTAATTGAAGGGTGACGGTTAGCTCAGTTGGCTAGATGCCTGGTTTGTGATGCAGAGTGTTGCCAACAGTGTGGGTTTAGTTCCTATACCAGCTGAAGTCACCACGACGTCCTGCCATCTCAACATTGCCCCTTGCCTGAGGCACGGTGGCCCTCAGTTAAATCACCACCAGTCATCTCTCTGCAACGAGAGAAAGCCTTCTGGTCCTCTCGGACTATGGCAACTTTATTGTAGGGTAAGGGAGTCCAAAACTAGAGGGCATAGGTTTAAGGTGAGAGGGGAAAGATTTAGAAGGGACCTAAGGGCCAACATTTTCACGCAGAGGGTGGTGCGTGTATGGAATGAGCTGCCATGGGCTGTGGTGGAGGCTGGTACAACTACAACATTTAAAAGGCATCTGGATGGGTACATGAATAGAAAGGATTTAGAGGGATATTGACCAAATGTTGGCACATGGGACTAGATTAATTTAGGATATGCGGTCAGCATGGACAAGTTGGACCAAAGGGTCTGTTTCCGTGCTGTATACCTCTATGACTCTATGATTGTCTCCACATTCGGTTCTTATGCAGCAATCTCCAGGTTATTACCACTCACTGCAGGCAAACATCTTCCTCACATCACCCTCCGACACCGCCTGCGACTCTCACCCAAACCTTTCAATCCGTCTCCTACAAGCTTTTCTTTATCTACTTTACATAATCCTGGCATAATATCCTCTCTCGAGTTTAGAGGAATAAGAGGGGATGTAATTGAGGTGTATGCATTGCTAAGGAGGGTTGATAAAACAGATCCAGAGAGGATGGTCCCTCATGGGGCAAGCTAGAATGAGCAGTCACAGCTTGAAGATGAGGAGTCACAGATTTTTAAACAGAGATGAGAAGAAATGACTTTTCTAGCGGCTGTGAATCTGTGGAATTCACTGCCCCAGAATACAGTGGATGCTGGGCAATAAACTAAATTTACGGGCAAGATAAACAGAGTTTTAGTTAGTAATGGGGTTGGAGGGGTTATGGAGATCGGGCAGGGAAGTGGAGCTGAGGCCAAGATGAGATCAGCCACGATCATATAAAATGACGGAGCAGGCTCAAGGGGCTGGATTGCCTTCTCCTGTTCCTAGCTCTTATGTTCTTGTAACCTTGTTCACTTCTGTCTCCTTCACTTCAAGGAGAACAACTCCTAACCCTGCGTCTAAATCCCTTGTCCCTGCAACCATCCTTTGTCAATCTCCCTGGCAACGTGTTGAGAACCCTCCTCTCCTTTCTGAAATATGTTGGCCAGAACTGGATGAAATTGTGTGGCATATAATCTGTTTTGAATGATGTTGTTGGAGGGATAAATAACAGAGAACCATTCCTACTTTGTATTTTCTTACAAGCATTGAGAAGGCAGGCAATACCTTGAGTTTAGTGTTTTATCTAAACCATGGCACCTCTGACCACGCAGCACTCCTTCAGTCCTGCGTTGGGTGTATCGGTCAGCACGCTGCTACAGAGATCGGGTTAATTTTATTTTTACTTATAAGGAACGCGCACAATATTATTACGAAAACATATAAAATGAAACTTGCCAAGACCGGCCTTGTTTCCTAAAGCAGCAACGCATAGCACAAAACAAAGATCGATCAGGCCAAATAACAGATTGCTGCTATCAAATACTTCCACGCAAAACAAAACCAGCGAGAGATAAGAGGGTTTTATAATCTTTATTCGGTATTTTGTAAGAAGTGTTTACTGAACATCAAGGTTACAGAAAGCTACAGAAGGTGCTTGCTCACGTTCACAGGTTTTAATCATAGCACCTTTGCGGTTAGTTAAAAAAAAAGTTTTTTTTTGACACAGGATACAGTGTGTACTCCTGAAAGATTAAATGTTGCATTCAGTGCAGGCACTCACTTTAGCGACATCAGCTGGAATATGAACCATGTCCCCATAATGACCCGAGGTAAATGGTTAACATGTCGTCCAGGAGCTACGTAGGATCAGTGCCAAGTGGTTGGAAGCAGGACACTGGGGGCAGTTTGTTTAAGAGAAGAAAAAAGTTTGCTTCGACTGCAAAGTTGGGGGAGGGGGAAAGCTCTGAAGTTGTCAATTTTCAGCCAGGATTTCCAAAAGAGATGATGTTTTCACTTGCTGTGTGTGCCAAAATGTAACTCATTCGCCCAACACAATATTGAAAGATTGAACTGTTCCTGTTTTGTGCATGTTGGAACAGGAACATAACCAGAATCTGTCACAGTTGAAGATGAGCAAATACACCCACCTGACCATTACTTGGACAGACTGGTTGGTGCAGAACCTCTAGGAGCTGAAGGCAAAATCTCCAGCCCATTCCTGAGAGCAATTCCGGAGAAAACATCGTCCTATTTGAGAGAAGAATTCTTAGAGTGCTTTCGTTTCAAAATGACCAGACATGGGGAAGGAAGAGCTGTTGGCCAATTGTAAAGGACCAGGCAACTGGACAAGGAATATTCTTTTATTGGCCTTGGAAGGTTGGTGACCAGGACAATGTAAACAGGTGGTCAGTGGCAGGAGTGCGGGAGTCAGGTGCTTGGGAAGAACAGTTCATGTGGTTGGGACCAGCGCTTCCGACACAACCCAAGTTAGGCATCAGTGGATGGTCACTCAGACCCTCCATGGGCACAAGTGGCCCAATACAGAGTAAGGTCAAGTTGCTGTTGTCCCACAGGGTATTAGGGCTCATTGAAGAGAGACAACAGGTGGTGAGCTTAACCTGATGGGAGAGGGTGGGACCTACACGGTAACCTCAGCCGGTTTTGGGAATTGAGCCCACACCGTTGGCATCACCCTGCGTTGCAAACCAGCCATCCAGCCACCTGACCTAACCCTTTACTCCCCCAACCATTGAAGTAATTAGACCAGGACTGTGGTGGAGATGGGGGGGAGACAAAGAGGTAAAAAGGTAAAAAAAACACTTCCTTGTTTTCCCAAATGGTGCAAGTTTCTCTTGCTAAATACGCCCTTTTATCGAAAACAAAAGCAATATGTTTGACAGAACCTGCGCAGACGCGAACTTCATTTTCAGCCTCTTACTACCACTTCACGCACAGCTACAGAGTTTCAAGTTCAGCGGGGAGCAGCTAAGAATCAACCAGTTCTGACAAAACATTAAAATAAACGCAGAGTCCTGCAGATGCCGAAAATCTGAAATAAAGAAAGGAACTGCGTTGGAGAAACTCAGCACCTGTGGAGAGAGAAGAACAGAGATCCATTCCGTAGAGGAGTCATACTGAATTCAAAACGTGAATTCCATTTTACTCTCTCTCTCTCTGCAGAAATATTCAGCAGGTCTGGCAGCATCTGTTTCCCTTTCGGATTTCCAGCGTCTGCAGTATCTTGCTTTGTAAGACTCTACCTGTGATGTGATCAGTGCCATATGTAGGCCAGACCTGGGGAGAATGGTGGATTCCTTTCAGTAAACAACATTGTTGCTAAGACCAGCATTTTGACTTCGAGATTCCTAATTTTCCTTTCAAAACTGGGTTTCGATTTCTCAAAGAGCGGGATCTGAACTCCTTCTGATTACTAGAAGAGTAACAATGTCTACGTGACGGTCACATCACTGTCTCTTCGCTTCACCCTGGCTTTTAGGAGTTGTGGCAGCTTGCTTGTGGAATCTGACTAGTTTGTGCACTGACTGCACTGGGAACCTCTTCAATGCAGTTCGAGGCTACAGGCAGTGTCAAACTTCCGGAATATTCTGCTGTCGTTGCGCAGTGCTGGCCAATTAACACGGCAGATGTTTTTTATTTTGGCAAAACTTCATTGGCAAGTTATTTTGAACATGGGTGATGCACTTTAAGTTTTCAAATATCAGCTGTCCATATGTTAGAAACACGCGTGGAAAAATAAAACCGAAGGGAACGAGGCATTTACGAATGCAAAGTGTCTTTGGTGCCAAGGAGGATAAAAGTATAATCAGGAACATTTCTTCACATGCACTCCACCTTTACAAAATTTTCATTGATTCAAATTGATTGGTAGAGCTCTAGACTGGGGATACAGAGAAACGGTTTTTACACAGGGGTGGGTCAGCAAAAACGCAATGGGCCAAAAATAAGAAGGGAGATAATGGACGCGAGGCCTCCGCCAGTGTGCTAAGTTTCTATCAATTCACCACCTCTCAAGCCTGTCAGGAATTTGGCATTCCGTTGTGCCTGCTGCAGTAAACCGCAATCCCATTGAATAGAGGCGAGGCTCCAAGAATTAGTCTGGGTGGAGCGATCATTGCCTGGTGCAAATTGTGACATTCATCTGTTAAAATCCACGCACCGAGTTCTATTGGGAACATCACTTCATCTGCCGCTGTGCCCGGCTGGCATTTTGTAGATGTGGAGGTTTCTTAAAAAGGGCTTTATTATTGCTTTACAATGGGATGAACCCAGGATCGTAACAGAAAGATCTCTCTGTCGTGGTGACTTCAAACATAAATCTATATCTCAGCCCATAGATGTAAGACTTTAGATGTAGCCTTCAAGGCCCCCACTGTGTGCCATAAAGAGTAATTTCCTCTTTTTTTTTGATGGACAGACTCCGCTGTAATGGCTGCATGCTCTTCTGAATGGGCATCAGCTAGCCTTAATGAACTGCCACTTCTGTCCATTAGTGGTCATTGCTGTCCCTTTCTTCGCTGGTTGTCTAACTCCCTTCTCGATTCCATCTCCCGCTCACCCCAGGGGCCTGTAACTGCACCGCCCCAATCTCCAACCACCATTCATTTCAATGCTAGACCAGGAGGTGGGCTGATTAAAAGGGTCGAGTCCAACACAAAGTCTCCATCCTGTTCTCAGGGCCGTGCGAGAACAGACAAAGGCCAAGCCAAAATGATGAGCTTTTTCCAAAACCCCGCACGCAACTGCATTTTGAAAGTGGGGGAAGGGGGATGGGAGAGGCCAGGCAATTTGTGGCCCAAGTGCCAATGAAATGCCATCTTTAATGTACTTTCGCCTCCCACTACCTTCGGCAGATCAAACTCTGGTGGAAGACTGCACAGTTGTGCGTGTCTCCTGATAATGGGGCAGCTTCAGGGTGAACGGGAACCGACAATGAAGAGAGAGGCCCAATCAGGAAAGTGAGGCTCGCTCTTGTCTCTTGTGCATGTGGTCAAGAGGCAAAAAAGGGAGGAACACGACCTTTTGTAATTGCGATTTTCAACCAATTTCTTTAAACGAAAATGAGTACCGGTGGATATATGCTTGCAATTTTGGGAGGGAGGAAGAGAGAAAAAAAAAAGCACGTTTTGAATGATAACAACAGGAAAGAAAAGAGCAAACTACAGGGGAATCCGAGGAAACAAGATTAACTTTCGGAAGTAAGCAAATAAAACAAAACATTTGCACGCACAAACATTTCATATACAAATATTAAACGTTACATGTACACAGTGGAGATCTGCATTAGCCGAGGTGCCTCCAGGCCCTTCCCAGTGCATGCTGGGTCATCATCGTGAGCGACATTATCGCAATCATTTACTCAAAACTCTTTGGCCTTTCCTTCTCTTCCATTTTACCCTTCTCAAATCGTTTCGAAAAATTACAACTGTACATTTAACAAATGGGCGTTGAGGGCGACCAGTGTTCTCTTGCGGTGGGTGGCGGGGTGGCGAGAGCGACTGTTTATTTTCGGGTGTGAGGCAGGTAGCTGTTCTCAATGCACAATATGATGAAGGAGTTGGAACAGGGGCTAGGCCTCTGCTCAAGAAGATAGCTGCTCAGCAGGGAAGATGCCATGCCCACCTTGTCGTCCTGGGATTCCCTCCAGGCCTCACAGTAACTCTGCGATAGACGGCGGCCTCTGGAGTCTGACCCGTGCCAGATGAACTTCTCAGGCCTTAGGTATCAGGGAAGGGGAGGAGCGGCAGAAACAGATAGAAAAAGTCCGTCAGTGAAACCGGCCCCTGAGGAATTGAGAATCTATCATAGAATCACCCAGCACGGAAACAGTCCCTTCGGTCCCACCAGTCCATGCTGACCCTAATCCCAAACTAAACTAGTCCCAACTGCCTGCTCTTGGCCCATATGCCTCAAAACATTTCTTATTCGTGATCTTATCCAAATGCCTTTTAAACACTGTAACTGTAATCGCCTCCTCCACTTCCTTTGGAGGTTCATTCCACACATGAACCACTCTATGTAAAAAGAAAAAAAGTCTTTTTTTTAAATCTTTCTCCTCTCACCTTGAAAATATACCCTGACTCTTGAAATCCCCTACCATAGGGAAAGGACACCCGCCCTTCACCTTATCTATACCGCTCATGATTTTACAAACCTCTATAAGGTCACCCTTCAGCCTCCTACACTTCAGTGAAAAAAGTCCCAGCCTAACCATATAACTCAAACCCTCCATTCCTGGGGCAACGTCCTGTCGGTGAGCCATAGCCCAGCGCACAGTGGCCTTGCCCCTGTCAGAGGGCTGTGGGTTCAAGCCCCACTGTGGGGGATTTGAGCACAATTTTTCCGGTGACACACCTGGTGCAGTACTGGGGGAGGGTGGGAGGGGCTACAGCATCACATGTACCGTCTTTCAGAATGAGGTGCTAGATGGAGGACATGCCTTATACCCTCGGGTGGACGAGCAAGATCCCACAGAACTATTTATCAAAAGGGTGGGATTTTTCCACCGCTGGTTTCCTGGGTCTCTACTTGCCCCTCAATCTGTGTTTTAAGACACGCTCGACCTGTGCGCTCAGCTCTGGAGTGGGAATTGAACTGGAGAGTTCTATCACAGTGACTACACTGCGAGATGCATTATGTTGCTTTGGGCGCCCCTGAGGACATGTAAGATGCTATTTCAATGCTTTTGTAAGCTACGCCATGATCACTGCCCTCTGACCTCACTTGCAACATTGTTCTCTCCCTCCCATCCTGTGGCCATGGTGGACGCTATTCTAGAATTTCCTCACCCAATTTCCCCAGCCCCCCTCTCCTCCTTAAAGCTCGAGTTTCTGCTCTCTCTTTCTAACATTGCCTCTTTTGGTTTAGTTTCCAGTGCTTTTCCCTCACACCACTCTGTAGACTGGTGAAGTCTGTTCCCACCTTAACAGTGATGCATTCACATACCAGGCATGGTCTTGGAGCACATCTCTCCCGTCAAAGGAATAGATTGGGGTGTTGGATTTGATGCGAGCTTGGGATCCAGAGAACAGCGAGCTCCAACTATCAAACAGCACCTGTCCCTAAGTGACGAAGAGGAAGATCTCAACACACATTCATTCCTGCCCCACACTGCCTAAGGTTAACAATGAGCATGGAACAAAAACAAAGTTGCTGGAAAAGCTCAGCAGGTCTGGCAGCACCTGTGAAGGAGAAAACAGACCCTTCCTCAAAACCGGACCCGAAACGTTAACTCTGTTTTCTCCTTCACAGATGCTGCCAGACCTGCTGAGCTTTCCCAGCAACTTTGTTTTTATTCCTGATTTACAGCTTCCGCAGTTCTTTTGGTTTTTAACAGTGAGCACGCTGGAGATATTGAATTGTCTCCGAGGTGCCGTGCGCTCAGTCAGATCACACCCAGCTCTGCCTCTCTCCGATGATTGAAAGTACATGCGCTCCCAGCCATCAATGATTCTTGCATTCCTTCACATCAGCCATGATCGAATGGCGAAGCAGACTGAATGGGCCGAATTAGTGCGGCGGCTTGGCGGTTAGCACTGCTGCCTCACGGCGCCAGGGACCCGGGTTCGATTCCACCCTCGGGCGACTGTCTGTGCGGAGTTTGCACATTCTCCCCGTGTCTGCGTGGGTTTCCTCTGGGTGCTCTGGTTTCCTCCCACAGCCCAAAGATGTGCAGGCTAGGTGGGTTGGCTGTGCTAAATTGTCCCGTAGTGTTCAGGGATGTGTAGTTAGGTGGATTGGCCATGCTAAGTTGCCCGTAGTGTTCAGGGATGTGTAGCTTAGGTGGGTTAGCCATGGGAAATGCAGGGTTACAGGGATAGGGTAGGGAGGTGGGTCTGGGTGGGATGCACTTCAGAGGGTCGGTGTGGACTCGACGGGTCGAATGGCCTGCTCCCACACTGTAGGGAGTCTATGATTCTATCTTATGGTCCTACGCACTGGTGAAATTGGACAAACGACAGCAGATACTTCAAAGCCCTGGAGAAGTACCATCAGTGAAGCACCACCCTCGAGAGCATTGAGGGTGGTCCAACAGCACCAATAAGTCCTGGGCTAACATGCACAGCCTCAAGATAGCAATCACCCCAACCAGTCCCACCGGGAGCCCGGACTCTCCCAAAGTAGCAGCTTGATTCAGAGCTCGACAGGAACGGGAGACTCCCGGGACGACAGTGGGAAATGCTTTCGGGTATCCCTAAAGAAGGGTTCAAACGTCCCCAGCTACTCACTAGGATCTCCGGCCCGAGAGCGACTGGAAGTGCAGAAAGTTCATTTGGGAAGGCAGCGAAGACAAGGTAGAGAGCTCAGGAATGTGAAGAGTTAAAAGCAAGGCAGTGGAGAGTGCACACCAAGCCTCCAAACAGCAGCCTGGATTCTGCACGTGGCAGGATCTGTGGGCCTCCCAACTAACTTATCCACTTTCTCAGAATCCTTGGAACAACCAGAGCGGAAGTGAGGCACCCTTGATCCCCAGGGACAGTATGAGAACAAGATGGATCAGCATTTCATCTCACCTGGGGTTAGCACACTGAAAGATTCCAAATGATTCGATTTTAAAATTCACATCGTCGCTCTCCGATCCCTCAATGGGTATTGACCTGCCCTCTCTACAATCTCTGCCTAGCCCCAGATTTCTTCAAAATCCCTGCGCTCCTCCTATTCTGGCTGCCTGCACACTGATGGCTTTCATCATCCCATCGATGGTGTCAACTGCCCTTGGCCAAGCTGTGCGATCCCCTCCCCAAACCTGTCATCTCTCCTTGAAGACCCAGCTCTGCTCTGACCAGGCAGTGGATCACCCCTGCTCGGAACTCCTCACCTCTTTGGATGTCAACTTGGGTCGGACGATGCTCTCGAGGGTGGTGCGTTACATCAAAAGGTGGTTACACAAACGCAAGTTGTTGTTGAAGGTTAATTTCACCGGAGGTTCATTCAAAAGCGCCTGCCAGCGCAGCCATGTCCAGGAAGCAATATTATGGCACAGAATGAGACCATTCAGCCCATCGTGCCTGCACCAGCTCTTCAAACGAGCATCGTGCCAATCTCCTGCTTTCCCATCCATACCCTTGCACATTATTTCTACCCGAACAATCATCCCACTGCTCTCGTGATTTTGCCAATTCAACCTGCCTCCACCACATTTCCAGGCAGTGCATTCCAGACCCCGAACTACTCGCCGCATGAAAGATGTTTTATTGACTCATTTACGAATCACACTCAAACCCTGCCCTTGTCCTCTTTACGAGCAGGACCAGTTTCTCCTTATCGACTCTCTCCAGCCACCAGCCACCAGCCCCCAACCCCCACCCCACCCCACCCAACTCCTCATGATTTTGAAACCCTCTGTCGGAGCTCCCCTCAGCCCTGTTCCCTTCAAGGAGAACAGTCGCAATCCATCCTTAAAAACAGACATTTCGCATCCCTGGAACCATTCTTGTAAATCGCTTCTACACTCTCCCTGTTACGTTCACATCGTTTCTTATAATGTGGTGCCTGCAATTGGACTCAAAACTCCAGATGAGGTCTAACAAAAACTATACAATATCGCAGTGCAGCAGGTCATCGAAAAGTTTGAGTTGTGTTCTAGACTTCAAGTACTCACTGACAATAGACACAAGAGGAAACTACTTGTGTCGGAAGGTCAGTTCCTGACTGGTTCCTCCTTGGTAACATCTCATGACTATGCCGTTGCCTCAGCTCTATTTTTTTGTCACCTCTTATTTGGCCTTTTCCAACTCGCCCCTTGGCTGCTCTCCCACGTTCCACCCTTTGTAAACTCAAGATCATCCAAAATTCGGCAGCCTGGGTGTTAACTTGCAGCAAATCCCACTCCCTGAATCCCCCACGTCCGCTGATCTACATCGGCCCCTGATTAAGCAACCTCTTGCTTTTTAAAACTCTCATCCGCATCTTCAAATTCCTCCTTGACCGTCACGTGCCCTCCCCCACCCCCTCGCCCGCCTCCCTACCTGTCTATGTCACCTCCTCCAACCCCAGCGCCCCCTGAGATATCTGCGCGCCTCTAGGTCAGCCCTCTTGTACATTCCTAATCACTTCACTTTCCATGACACGATCTGGAACGAGGGAATCACAGATTTTAAGTAACTGGCAAAAGGGAGAAAAGTGATCTGAGAGAAAGCTTTCCGAACGGTGAGTGATTACAGTCTGGGATGCCCTGCCTCACAGTGTGCCAAGGGCAGGTTCAATTGAAACATTTGAAAGGGAGCTTGATTTGAAGAGGAAGAATGTGCAGGATTACAGGGCAGAGAAAGAAAGAGAGAGAGAGAGAGAGAGGAGCTGTCAAATGCTCATGTGCAGAGCTGGCACAGACAGAATGAGCCGAACGGCCTCTTTCTGCCCTGCACTATTTGTGTGATTCTGAGACCATTGGGGACTGTGCCTTCAGCTGTCTTCCCACACCTCCCTGTGTCCCTGCTTCACTGTGCTCCGTTAAACACGCGCCTTCGAACCTATCACTTTGGCCATCTGATACTGCCTGTCCTGACGGGGTTCCCCCGTGTCAGACCCTGCACCGTGTTTTGAGAATGCCCCAGCATATGCATCGATGGTCTGCAGGAAGGCCTTACCTTACTGTTTACGATGGGCACCGAGTGCCTGTCAGCGCGCCGCACCACACTGTACAGGTCCTGGAGCTTGGACGAGAGGAAGCCTCTGAACGTTCCCATCAGGCCCACCCCCCGGGCCTGCTGGAAACATTGGAAGTCGACCCCTCGGATGCCCTGCATGTTGCCGGTCAGTGGGGTGTTGAGAGCCATGAGGTGAAGCTGCAGGAAGAAGAAGAAGAAAAGAGTGACGGTGTGAGAGCCAATCTTCACAGTATTCACACTCAGCGCTCATTCAGCAAGACCCGCCAACACTGCCCATTCCCAGCTACGGGGGAGAAGGCAGCAGTGAGCTGCTCCCCTCTAAACTCAATGACTATCTGGGGCACTTCACGATGCAGTCCAGAGTCGACCACACTGGTAGTAGACTAGAGTTCTCCTCGAGGGCCCGGCTGGGAATCCTGCAGCGAGGTGGGTAACCCGCCTCTTGACTCCCCCAAAGCCCGCTCCCCGATCGACAAGGAACAAGTCAGTAGTGTGTTGGAGTACTGCCCACTTGCCTGGACCGGCGTAGCTCCGACAAATACACAACCAGGGGTCAGGAGCAGGCCACTCAGCAACCCCCACCTCAAGCCCGCTCTGTCATTCAACCAGCTCACAGCCGATCTCCTTCAACATCCACTACTCCCAAACCCCCAACCACCGACGCTCAGTCGCAGCAGTGCGCAGCTTCTACAAAATGTACCGCAGAAATTCACCAAAGTTTCTTAGACAGCACCTTCCAGATCCACTGGAGGTGCGTCCAGACTGCAGCGGTTCAAGAAGGCAGCTCACCACCACCTTCTCAAGGGCAGCTAGGGATGGGCAATAAAGTGCTGGCCAAGCTAGCGACGCCCACATCCCGTGAATGAATAACAACGAAATGCCCCCAACCAACACCACCAAATGACGCATTGTTCAGTCACCGTCGCTAACAGATGCTTGCTGCCCCTTTTCCTCCATAAACAGTGCCACCACTTAATCGACCAGGAAGCTCTTTTGGAGCATGTTGTGAGGTGGCACAAGCATTATACAAATGCAAGGTCTACCTTTACTAACATGGACATTTAAGCTGCCTTACAGCTCCGTCCCACAATGCTGCGGGAAACTGGATTTACAAGGATGTTACCGAGACTGGAGGGTTTGAGTTGTAAGGATGGGCTGGGGCTATTTTCCCCTGGAGCGTCAGAGGCTGAGGGGTGACCATGTAGAAATATATAATATCATGACAGGCATGGATAGGGTGAATAGCCAACGTCTTTTCCCCCAAGGGTAGGGGAGTCCAAAACAAGAGGGACGTAGGTTTAAGGCGAGAGGGGAAGGGGCAACCTTGTCACGCGCACAAAAAAGAATTGGGGCGCCAACCAGCTTTTACACTGGCAGGGCCTTCAACATTATCTGGTGGCAATATGGTGGGGGTGGGGGGGGGCGCATTCCTTGCTCGCCAGGGGGACCGCTGAATGGAGCCAGTTACCATTGGGACTCCATGGAGGCTCTCGGCATGGCCAGAGATGGGCACGTGAGGTCGGCGGGAGACGCCGTAGTGGCCATGCCGTGGAGGAGGAGCTGCCGAGCGGGGCGGGGCGGCAGTTGTCGGCCATCTTGGGACAGGCTGGCGTTGCTGGTGGCTGGTCTGCGGTGCCTCTGGACGGCGGCGGGCCGGCCGCTGGTGGTCGGGGCCCCGCGGGCTCTCCGCCTCGGGGGCCCGGTTCTCCGGAGATGCCGCCGCCGCCTCCACATTCGGCGTGGATTTGCTGTCTGTCGAGTACTGCACCACGGGCGGAGATCCCACCGCTTCCACGTTGTTTCCCTATCAACACAGCAATGAATTGAGGAAGGTGAAGAAACAATTCAGGACGCAGTTCTGGGCACAACCCAGCGTTGACCACAAAAACCCCTGTTTAAATACTTCCAGACGTAGCACAGTGGACTGCAATTCTCCCTTTCCGTCGGAAGGTTAAGGTCTCAAATCCCTCTCTAGATACCTGAGCCAAATATCCAGGCCGACACCCCAGTGCAGTACCAAAGGAGTGCTGCACTGTCAGAGATGCCACCTCTCAGGCCGGGCATGAAACAGTAGACAGATAGAAATTTACTGTTACCGGTGTTTGAGAAAATACAGTGAAATGTGTAAAAGTCGCCGTGAAAACAGAGCCGTTTAATTACATCGATTACAAGTTAACAAAAAAAGAGACTAAGTTAAGACGGATATCACCTTTTGATCGTTCCACGGCCTCTTGGTTGCACGAATTGGCCGCCGCCGAAGCCTGGTGCTTGCCCAACTGCCGAGCGCTGAGGCCTACTCCGACTGCCGAGGGGCAGATCCTGTCCAACTGTCGAGGACCAGGGGTCCTCTCGAAACTGTCAAGGACGGGGGCCTCTCGAAACCGCCGAGGACTGGGCCCTGTCCAAACTGTCGAGGATCTGAGGCCCCACGAAATTGTCAAGGGCAGGGGCCTGTCAAAATGGCCATGGACCGGGCCCTGGTAAAACCGCCGTGGACCGGGGCCCTGGTAAAATTAAGGTCCCATTGCAGCTGGCAGAACAGATTCTGCATTCCAATATTTTGAAGGGCCCTGACCAATATTTATCCCTCAACCAAAGTCAAGAGGTTCTTTGATCTCAAGAGAATGAATAACATACAGAAAGAAACAAATTGCAGCTTGTATAAATATAAGTTATTCCTGTAAACAATACAGTGGCAATTACCTCAGAAAAATGCAGGAGATAAGCTGTACTCACATTTACTCCAGCACCATGATACGGAATGTATTCTCCCAGCTGTAATTACAAATAAAGTACATCAAAATGTGCCGTGAGCAGAGAACAGGAATTTTAAAAAAAACTGACTCATGTCACATCACTTTTGGACCGTATGAAACCAAAAGAGAGTGAAAAAGTTAAGGGGAACCACCTCTCACCCCTGCTGATCACATACTTTTAAGGACTCTCAAGGACTGTGGGAGCTTTATAACTGGCACCGAGCTGCCTTCTTGAACCACTGCTGTCCACAATGCCGTTAGGAAGGGAATTCCAGGGTTTGACTTGGCAACAGTGAAGGAACAGCGTTATATTTCCAAGTCAGGATGGTGAGTGGCTTGGAGGGAGTCTTGCAGGTGGTGGTGTTCCCATGTATCTAACGCCCTCATCCCGTGAATGAATAAAGAAAGTAAAGAATCTGCTGCCCTCGTCCTTTGAGATGGAGGTGGTCGTGGGTTTGGAAGGTGCCATTGAAGATTACTTGTTGAGTTACTGCAGTAGATCATGTAGATAGCTACACACTGCTGTCACTCTGAATTGACAATGCAGAGAGGTAAATGTTAAATGAATGGCGATGTGGTGCCAACCATGCGGGCTGCTTTGTCCTGGGTGGTGTCAAGCTTCTTGGGTGTTGTTGGGGCTGCACCCATCCAGGCAAGTGGGGAGCATTCCATCACACTCCTGACATGCGCCCTGTAGATGACGGGCAGGCTTTGGGGAGTCAGGAAGTGAGTTACTCAACACAGTAACCCTGGTCTCCGACCTGCTCACTGTGTTTACGTGGCGAGTCCAGTTGAGTTTCTGGTCAATGTTACCCCACGCCCCCCCCCCCCCACAATCCCCACCCCCAAGGATGTTGACAGTGGGGGACTCAGTAATAGTAAAAACCTCCTGTTGGAGACGATCACTGCCTTCCCTTGTGCAGTGCAAACACGAGAAGAGAAAAACATAAAAGAATGCTAAAGGCGCACTTACATAAACCTGCCGCCAGCCATCCCGGACTCGGATATACAGGTCTCCACGTTCCATGACGTAAGCTAATGTTCCCTCATGCAGGCTGTGAGAAATACTCAGCATTGTCTGATAGGTCTGCAGCACCGTAACCTGGGTGACATAGGAAAGCCATTTTATTGGACGTCAGGGACACCAACGACACAGATTAAAGACTGCAGTTTGAATGTCAGTAAGGTACACAGTGATTCTGAGGGTTATTACACTTCGGGGTGACTGACAGCTCTCTAGGCCCTACCTGTTCAACCACTGACCTCTCCATGGTGACCAACATACCTGTCAGCCAATGGCTGTAGCACTTCTTCCACAGTGAGCTCTACCTGCGATTCCTCCCCTCTCCCATTCAGCGGCTGCCCTGCCCCATCCCTCTCCTGCCCCCGCCCCCGCCCCCACCCCCATCCCCTCACCAGCAACCTCCCTCACCAGCCCCGCCCCTCACTCACCCCGTCCCTCATCCGCCCCTCACTCACCCCGCCCGTCATCCACCCCTCACCCACCCCACCCCTCACTAGCCCTGCCCCTCACCCACCCCGCCCCTCACCAGCCACACTCCCTCACCAACCCCGCCCCTCACCAGCCCTGCCCCTCACCCACCCTGCCCCTCACCAGCCACACTCACTCACCAGCCCCGCCCCTCACCAGCCCCGCCCCTCACCAGCACACCCCCTCACCAGCCCCGCCCCTCACCAGTACACCCCCTCACCAGCCCCACCCCTCACCAGCCACCCCCTCTCACCAGCCACCCCCTCTCACCAGCACCCCCTCACCAGCCCTGCCCCTCATTAGCACCACCCCTCACCAGCCCCGCCCCTCATTAGCACCCCCCCTCACCAGCCACCCACTCCTCACCAGCTCCTCCCTTCACCAGCCCTGCCCCACCCCACCCCAGCCCCTCACCAGGCCTGTAGTGCTTGTAATGAGGTCGGCCAGGTCAACCTCATAGACTCTGAGTTCCCTGATTGGGGCTGTTAATCTGGTCCGATCAGGGAGCCCTGGCTGACAGATATAAACAGGAGGGTCAGAGGTTCTGCTCACTCTGAGAGCTGGCTCTGAGGGAGCTGGGTCAGTGTCAAGGACTCTCCACGTGTAAATAAAGGGTGACTTGGTGACAGGGTACCGGCCTCTGTGGGAGTTATTTCAAGGCCGTGGCCCTCACCAGGCTTCCATTTCTGGTTCTGAATGAACTGAACTCATGACCATGCTCTGGGATTGAATAGATTAATCCTAGTCCCTAATCCCTCTTCAGCAGTGTGATCAATTGAAGTTCCCACACTTACCCCTGAAGCTGAAGCAGAGCCAGGAGGGCCAGGGGGACCTGGTGGTCCTACGATGCCTATGAGACAGAGATGCAGAGTGTGTGAGAGAGAGCATGATAGAGAGAGAGAGACAGAGAGAGAGAGAAAGAGAGAGAGAGGCAGCAAGACAGAGAGAGAGAGAGACACGGCAAGAGAGACAGAGAAAGAGATATTGAGAGAGATAGGGCCAGAGAGGGGGAGGGAGAGACAGTGAGAGAGACAGTGATAGAGAAATATAGACAGAGACAGATAGAGAAAGAGATAGGAAGAAAGAGATAGAGAGAGAGAGAGCGATCAAGAAAGAATGAGAAAAACAACGGGAGAGACAGTGAGTGACAGCAAGAGAGAAAGTGAGCAAGAGAAAACAAGAGAGTTAGAGAACGAGAGACAGCAAGAGTGAGCAAGCGAGTAAGAGAAGAGATAGAGAAAAAAGAGAGATGGACAGAGAGAGAGAGAGAGTGAGCAAGAATGTGAGTGAGAGTGAGAGAGAGTGAAAGTGAGAGAGAGAGTGAGTGAAAGAGTGAGAAGGAGAGAGAGTGAGAAGGAGAGAGCGTGAGAAAGAGAGTGAGTGAGAGAGTGAGAGAATGAGAAAGACAGTGAGAGAGAGAGAGAGAGCACACGAGGGCGAGAGAGATAGAAAGTGAAAGATTAATTCCACACCACATTAATGGAACCAGTTCTGTACATTGACTTATCCAAACCATAACCACCAACCCAATGACTAGTTTCCCTCATGTCAGAGTGATTCACTAACTGGTTTGGAATTCAATTTTCCAGCTGATGCTGTGATCTGATCTCCTATTCTTAGCATCAAGTTTACAAATCCCTCTGTCCTCGATACAATGCTTCACAGCCAGCAGCACCCCACTGCTGGCTGCATTCTTCACTGAGGAGTGCCTATTCATTCAAACACTGGCTCGCAGAACACACTTGGTTCTTGGAGCACAGCAACATCACCCCATGGGCCCATCTCCAAAACCCCCTCTCACACACCCATCTCCTAAATACCTCATTCCCATCTGAAAAACCCTCTCACACATACCCTTTCACATCCCCTCACATAACCTCTCACAGACCTCTCCTGGATCTCTAGCATCTTCCTCAACCTAAAAACCCTCTCTTTCTCCCTACTAAATACCCTCTTCTCCCCTCCCCAAAGAGCATCATCTTCCCCCGACCTAACTATCCTCCACTTCCCCCTCCTAAATACCCTCTCCTCCTCCTCCCCTCCTAAATACCCTCTTGTCCCAACTCCTAAACATCCTCTCTGCCCCTTCCAAATACCCTCTCATCCTCCCCCTCCTAAATACCCTCTCCTCTCATCCCCTTTGCCCCATCCCAACCCACCCTGGCCTAACCCAGTCTATCTGAGCCCATTCCACATTCTTTCTGCCCAAACCCAACACAACCCTGTTCACCTCATTTTGTTCAACCTCACATAATCCCTAAAAGGATCTTACTGAACAAAAGGGTAGTGGGGGAATTGATACCAACTTGTTCTGTGATGTCCTGAAGTAGGCACTCCAGGGGGGCCAGGAGGCCCTGGGAGTCCAGGGGGTCCAGGGACACCTGGATACCCATAACCAGGGGGTCCCGTGTTGCCTGGTAATCCTCTGGGTCCAACAATACTGTCTCCTTTTGGTCCCTGGGAGGTGAGGGGAGAACATTTAGTCAGTGATGGGGAGTGGGGTGTAAGGCCAGGACATTTCCCCACAGTTAAGAAATTATTTCACACAGAATCCCGTCTCGTATACCCCACGGCATTTGCAAATAAACACGGGGAGGCACAAACGTGGCTCAGTGGGAAACAGTCTCATTTTTGCCTCAGACGGTCCCACTCCCGAGATGTTAGTATCCCATTTAAGCAGAGTGCTGTAACACCTCGAGGTGCAGCCTTTCAACTGAGACTCTGTCTGCCCCTTCAGGTGGGTAAAAAACAGCCCATGGCACTACTTTAGAGAAGACCAAGCGAGTTATCCCAAATGTCCTGACCAATACTTTTCTACAATTAATGGCTCTAAAACAGAATATCTACTCATTGTCGGATTGCTATGTGTGGGAGTTTGCTAGCTTCAAGCTGACTGAAGTCTTTCGTTCAAAATAGGAGCTGGCGTAAGTTGTTCGCCCCTTCAGCCTGCTGCCCCATTCAATAGGATTGTGGCTGACCTGATTCTGATCTTAACTCCCATTTCTTGCCTCAACCCTGCATCACCCCCAACTCCCTTTGCCCATCAGAAATCTGTCTAACGCTGCCTTGAATAGATTCAATGAGCCCGGTCTCTGCTGCTCTCTGGGATACAGAATTCCAAAGAGTGACAACACTCAGTTAAACTGTGCCTCCTCGTTCTCGGCTCCAACGCAAGGGGAAACATGCTGTCAGGATCTACTCTCCCAGAACCCCTCTCAGAATCTTCTATGTTTCAATCAAATCTAAATCCAGCAAGCACAGGCCCGTTGATCAACATTCCCTCACAATAAAATCTCTTCACCCCGGGACTGCTACATTAAAGGAGCAACTACACTGCAGGAGGTCATAAAAGGCCTTACTTAAATTTGGGCTTCTTCTCTGGCCCTGGACCTTTCTCCAAAGGATATTTTCGTCTGCAACTCCCCGCCAACCTCAGGATGACCCAGGACAGAGGTGGCGGGGCGGGGAGGGGAACAATTTCTGAAGCCAATTTGGGCCTCTCCCGCAAACTCAAGAACATTCCGAATGTTCAGGCAAAAGACAGAAAACAGAGATTCTCTTTCCTGGCGCTCGCTGGTCGCCACTTGGGACCTTCTTACCTGAAGACCTGGTCGTCCTGGAGGCCCAGGGGGACCCTGGGGCCCTGCTACACTGGAACCATAGCCATCTCCCGGTGCGCCCTTCTCTCCTTTCTGCCCCACGTCACCCTTATCTCCTTTTGCACCCTGTCAGCGGAGGATAGAGAAGGCAGAGGACGGTGAGGAAAGGGGAGAACGTGAGAGCCACAGCTGACACAAACAGCATGCAGTGCAACTCCGAGACTGATGGTGGCGATGCCGAGCGTGTGATGTTTTGGCTTGCCGATTGTGTCAAATGACCACCAGCCTCCAAGCCACCCCAGCCCTCAAGACTAGGACACCACTGGTGACTGAACAAGGCTGATCCAGGCACTTTATAACCTTCTGGACTTAACATTGAGTTCAACACCTTCGAACCGTGAACGCACTCTCACTTCTTCTCCTTCTTCTAGCTTTATTTGTTGCATTCTCTGCCACCATGTCCTCTCTCGCCTCCTCCTGCTTCAGTGTGACCATCTGTTCTTTCCAGTCTGGCGGTTAGACACACCGTTGCTCTGCCATTCTCACATTCGGATCATTTAATCTGAACTATCAGCTGCCCCTCTTCCCCTCGCACTCCAACCCCCACCCCCCAACTACTGCATAAATGTTGTCCCCTCCACACGTCATGACTCTTCATCTAGACTTGAAAAATTAGCTTGCACTCTCTCCATGAATGCTGCCTGACCCCCTGTGATCTCCACTACTTTCTACTTACTCAGTCAACTGAGTCAAGTTGGCTATTTGGATGTTTGAATCCTACTCCACCTTCTGATTGTTTTTGTAAACTTGCCCATAACCTTTCTCCAGGGTTTCGTCCAGGAGATTAGTCTTTGATTCCCAAAGACTCCGGGACGACTCAGTTAATGACTCTTGTTCAAGAATGATTGCACTCTCCGTCTTTGCAAACACACCGCTTCAATCATCTCGGGCACGTACAGAGACTGCCAGAGGGTTAAAAGGTTGGCCACTCTCGGGAGTTCTTCATCAGAGGTGAGGGGTGGGGGGGAGGGGGTGAGGATTTGAAATGGCCGCCCAACAGATGCCAGTGTTCCAAGCAACACTGGCAAGCTCACTGTGAGAGAGCAAGAAGACAACAACGCTTACTCTGAGAGACGAGGTGAAGTCATATGCGTCATATGGGATGGGTCCTGAAACCGAACAGCACAGAGACATGTCAGAGTTGGTTAACGTACAAAATTGAAGGCACAATATCATCTGAAAAGAAGCTTAAAACATGGGCTGAGGTCTCCTGGGTGGCAGAGCTGGACTCTAGCACACTGACTCCAAATCGCAGGAGCAACATGCCTCAAGTGGAAGCCTCATGGGGACAGGTTTCGGCTGCGGTCTCTGAAACTGTCCCCAGGACCCACCTGACCTTTCTAATCTTCTGCTACCACCTTCCACATCCGCTCCCTCCACCACCGACACTCAGGGAGCAGCAGTATGCACCATCTACAGGATGTACCGCAGCAACTCACCCAAACTCCTCAGGCAGCACCTTTCAAACCCACGACCACTTCCATCCAGAAGGACAAGGGCAGCAGATGCAGGGGAACACTACCCCCTGCAAGATCCCCTCCAAGCCACTCACCATCCTAACTTGGAAAGAAATCCCTCCTCCCTCAGTGTTGCTTGGTCAAAATCTTGGAACTCCCTCCCAAACAGCACTGTGGACTGCTGCACCTCAAGATGGCCACAACTCACCATTACCGTCACAAAGGACAGGCATTAAATGCTGGCCTTACTAATGAGGCTGAAGCCCCTCGAACAAATTACTTAAAAAATGTCTGGACTGCAATGGAAATCACCTTGTACAGGAGGTAAAGGTTTTATCGGGGATGGCTAGATCTGTGAAATCTGGACCGGTTTTGAGTCTCTGACATGGATGGGAGAGAAACGTTGCAAGTGATTTTTTGTTTTGCCCCGTTTGGCTCTGGGCATTGACTTTCTGTGGAGGGGATGGGGTTCCTGGTCACCAGTCGGAGAGTTCTCGGGAAGGTCCGCTGCATCTTGTAACATTTTAACAGGCGAGCGTCAGGCCTTCCACCTGATATCAAGGACCCCGGGGATAACAATCCCGGTTATCAAGAGCTGCCAGACCATGAGTGACTGGGATGTGCTAAATGGCGCCCCCTGTAGGAGGTGGCTGCTTCCAGTACAACAGCCACCCAAGGTCTCCAGTCGGATAAGAGCCAGGTACAAGTGAATTGAATTGAATTAGCTTTATTATCACATCTACTCAGGTGATGTCATCACTTATGGCACCATCTTAGGCACAAAAGGTACGGATTCTTCAGTACAAGTTTTTAGGAAAAAAAATTTAGAAAATAAAGAAACAAGAAGTCCAGAATTGCAGATTGTGGGAATAAATTAGAAAAAAGAGAAACAAAAAGTTCAGAACTATGGTCCTTCCAACTCCAGTCCATGCCAAGCCTTGGCAATGCCAGGGAGAGGGTGGGGGTTTGGGGAAAGGTGGTCAGGAGTGTGGCACCCTCTTTCCTGGTGCTAGGTCCCTCGATCAGGGACTGACTGCCTGATGGAGCCCTCATTTGCACTCCAAGTGGCACGTTCCCTGGCCTATCACTAAGTTAATACCAGTGGCTGTGGGTTGAGACCCTCAAATGAATCACCATTGATTACCCAGTTGCGAGCCTCAGTTGGCAGTGCAGTTGCAAAGCCCATCCATGGGTCTACCTGTCACGGGTTTATTTTTTTATTCATTCATGGGATGAGGGCATCGCCTGGCCAGGCAGCATTTATTGCCCAGAGGGCAGTTAAGAGTCAACCACATTGCTGTGGGTCTGGAGTCACATGTAGGTCAGACCAGGTAAGGATGGCAGTTTCCTTCCCTAAAGAACATGAGTGAACCAGGTGGGTCTTTTCCCGACAATCGGTAATAGATTCAGGGTCATCATTACGTTCTTAATTCCAGATATTTATTGAATTCAAATTCCACCAGCAGCCGTGGCGGGATTCGAACCCAGGTCCCCAGATCAGTGCCTGGATTAACAGTCCAGCGATAATACCACTGGGCCATCTGGGGGTGGAGGAGGCTGAGTGGTAAGGTCCTCACACATTAACCCTGCTGCCTGATTAACGGGCCCCACTCTGCCACGAAGCACGCCATGCAGGTGGGCACAGGGCTCTGTCCTTTGGCTCTCCGAGGGGACCCATGTTTACTGAGGTGGGAAGTGGAGGAGGAATTGACTAGTGTCATCCGTCTTGGCATGGGGAAGGTATGGCACGCCAGGCCGTCTTGTCAGTTTCTCGTGCTCAAAGCTCAACCCGAAAAGCCAGCAGCAGTGAACCAGAAGCAGACTCAGAGCTGCTAAACATTGATCACAAAGAGAGCTTCTTGCACATTAGAAAATCAGAAACCCGACAGCTCAACCTCCACGTTCTACACCAGGGTGCAGGTGGGGCGAGGGGGGTTTCTTGAACCAGACGGAAATGGTGGTTTCATTTGATACTCCTGTTTAAAACTGTGCATGGAGTTACTTCTTCGCAGACTTAAAGAGTAACCTCTGACCTCCCCTGTTAAGCCCCCACCTCCCAGTCTAATTACCTGGTGGGCCAGGAGGCCCGGGGTCACCAATATCCCCTTTCTCTCCTGGGGGACCTGCATACCCTGGGCTACCACGGTCTCCTTTAGGACCTGCGTGAGAGAACAAGACAAGATATTCACCGTCATGGCTCGAGGCTGTAATCATTTATCAGCTTAAGTGTTGAAATTGCGAGTCATTCTCTCAACACTAATTAAGGGGCCCATTCATTGTTCTTTTAGATCTAACTTTAGTTAATCATTCTGAAGTGAGGTTAGAAGGTGATGACAATGTCTAATTTCATGACACATTTTTTAAAAAGTATACATTTAGGCTCGAGAGTAAAGTGTTAAATGTAAAGCCAATGGGTTTGGGAAATTAACAAATACCATTCAAAGGATAAACCATTCTACATAAAAAGGCCAGAGACGGAACTGTGAACATACTCAGCAATGGGCTATTTTTTCCTGAGTGTCTTGGTTAGACAAAATGCCTACAGTTGTCTTCTTAAGGGGCTTGAATTAGTCATGTGGGTCAGGAAAGGACAAACAAGGGGAGCTCTTAAAGTATCCATATACCTTTCAGATCAAAAGATTGATTGGTATTTGATACATTTGATTGATAATTAATCTACATTTTTGTTGGAACATCCTGGGTGTGCTGCATTACTATGGAAATAGACAACGTAGGTCATGTAGAACCTTGTTGAGTTGAGTTTATTTGTTTTCTTACAGACAGAAATAGTGTGACTTTTAGAGCTGGAACAGTTGGAAACAAGCAGAGAGGGAGATCTGCCAAAAGCTTCAGACCATTAAGCAAAAAGGGAATGAAGCCCATCTTTGAATTTGGGCAGTCACAATCTCATAGAACATAGCAGGAAATCTAGGGAGAATTAAAGTGAATTCCTGAGGACTGTGACACATTGTGGTTTGATCCCAGGAGATGTGAAATTAGCATCGAGAATGTGGAAGGAACTGATGAACTCTTGGGTGGGTTGCTTTATTGAGTTTTGAAAGTTTAAAATATAGGTGTTTACAAAGTATGCAGTGTTAAAACAGTTGTATTTACTTTCTTTAACTCTTGTAAAGCTTTTAATCAAAATAAAATCATAGAATTGAGGCCCATCAGCCTATCATGCTATGCTTTCTGAATGAGCAGTCACCTAGAGCTTGCCTTCTCCCTTAAACCAGACACAATCTTCCTTTTCAGATAATAATCTAATTCCCAATTGAATGCTTTAATTGAACAAGCCTACACTATATTCTCAGATACTGCATTGCAGATATTAGCATTAAATCTAGCGACATAAATAACTGGCTTTTGAATTTCTTTCTCTAAGTTAATGGTCTCCCTCGTGATCATAACAGACAGCAAATACTGGCTAGCCAAACAGGGCGGTATGGCGACCTGTTGTTAGCACCGCTATCTCACAGCACCAGGGACGTGGGTTCGATTCCCCCCTCGGGCAACGGTCTGTGTGGAGTTTGCACATTCTCCCGTGTCTGCACGGATTTCTGCCGGGTGCTCCGGTTTCCTCCCACAGTCCAAAGATGCACAGGATAGGTGGATCAGCCAGGGGATTACAGGGATAGGGTGGGGGGATGGGTCTGGGTGGGAGGGTCAGTGCAGACTCGATGGGATGAATGGCCTCTTTCCACACTGCAGGGATTCTATGTTGCTTCAGACTTAGCCAGATAGATCAGAATAGTTTTCTACATGACTGAAATAAAATAGTCAGGATTCTTAACTGACATTTTCAGCTGAATACAGGATTGGTTAGAAACCCTAATGCCCTAATTTATGGACGCAATGAGCTGAATCCATCACAACCTTCTTTACATAATTTAATGAGCAGTATTTGAAAAGTCCTTGAACGGAACCTTGGATCGAAAGTTTTTGTGATTAATGAAACCAATTAAAGAACATGGAATGTAATACGTTATCCACCATCTTAGATTAGAGAAATGCGGCCATTTTGTTTCCAGATGGGCTCAGTGTCATTGCTGCCCTATGGAAGCCTGGACACTTGCTGCTATCATCACAGAGAGGTTGAGGATCAAAGTCTCTCCTGCAACTTCAGCAGAATAGGGCAAAATCTTTCAAGACGTAAACTGCAGTATTTACCAGAGGAGTGCAAATACTAATGGAATTTTTTTACCCAGTAGACCATGAGCACCTACCTGGTGGTCCAAGTATTCCGGGGAATCCTTCAGCTGCTCCCCTGAATACCTGAAGAGAAGACGGTGACAATATGAGGCAAATATCCACGGGCGGAGCTAAAATCTCCCTTCCCTCAGTGAGGGTGGTGGCTCGGAGTCGGGAACTTGTGGCTACGTGTCCCTACCCCGGAGTGTTCGGCCCAAACCATGGACATTCCCAGCACAGTACTGAGGGAAAGCCCCATCTGCTGGAGGGGCCATCTTGCGGACGAAACATTAAACCGGTCTCCCCTGTTGGTCAGTACTGGGGAAGCTGGAAATCTGGGTGGGAATGTGGTGCCCGATGGGAAGGCAGCAATTCAGTAGCAATGTTACTGAGGGAGGGCAATAAGGCAGGGTCACTGCAACATATTCCAGCCATATTTAAATTGGCCACTCAGAAGTACGTCGTACACTTACGTGATCACTAAAGGCAGACGCTGGTATACCAGGTGGTCCGGGAGGTCCCGGTGGACCGGGTGGCCCTGGAATATTCTAGCAAAATAGAGCAATATGAAAATGATTCGGAAAACACCTGAAGCTTCAGAAATGCAACTGCCAGAGCAGAACAGAAGTTATCTTCAGCGAAGGCAAGACTCACCCGGTATCCAAAACCACCGCTGAAATCTCCCAGCTCACCCTTCTCGCCTTTCAGCCCATTTATACCAGGCCGGCCCTGCAAGTGAGAGAAAAGAAATTAGGAAGGCAAAAGAGGCTGGAGGGTCACTCATCCGTGTCGACATATCGAAAAGACAAAGTTTGCGAGGCAGATTTAAGTTATCTGAATAGCTGGAAAGACCAGTCTGCAAAAGCATGATCCTGAGCTTCTCGAGGTTGGTCATTTCCAAGCTCCAGCTTGCTCTCCCTCTGACCTCTCTGTCCTTGTCCTGCTGCTCAACATATACTCGAGGGTCTGCACCTCATCCTTCAATCAGGCTTCCAGGCTGTACACAGAATCCGACAGGATCTGACAGCAATCCCTGCCCCTCGCTCCTGCCAAACCCATCCCCTCCATTTCGTTTCCTGGTCTTTGCAGGTTTTTAATTTTACTCTCACCTTTCTCTTGTTTTTGCTTTTGGATGGCAGCCATTGATCATTCTACCGTGAACAAAGACAGAAGTTGCTGGAAAAGTTCAGCTGGAAAAGCTCCAGCAACTTCTGTTTTTGTTCTTTCAGGTTTTCAATCATTCTACCATTCCCACATCTTCGGGGCAGAGCTTTTGTTGGCTGACTGATCCTCTCCCTTTGGCCTTGCACCATCAGGTGTCTGTCAATCTTCACCTTATCTTCCCACACCCTCAACGTTTCACTTGTTTAAAAGCAGTCGCACCTCTAACCTTTCTCACCTCAGATTAAAGGTCATCGATTTGAAACCTTAATGGCTTCTCCCTCCAGGCAGCCTCTCTGACCTGCTGAGTGCTTCCAACATTTTGTTCTGGGATCATCTATCAACGGGCTCTCTTAGCTGAAGATCTGCCCAGACTGAAGCCCGAAACGTCAGCTCTCTTGCTTCTCTGCTGCCGCCTGGTCTGCTGTGCTCCTCCAGCTCCACACTCTGTTATCTCTGACTCCAGCATCTGCAGTTCCTGTTACCTCTCAGATCTCTCCCTAGTTCTGTCGTCCTGCCCAAAGCATTGGCCAGTACCTCTAGAAACCGCCCACAGTGATTCAGTGGTGGAGCCACTGCCAGAACTTGCCTGCTCTCCTCAGAAATTTCTGGATGACCTGCTGGGGTGATTCCAGTCCTCCGTCTTTCCCTTTTTAATCGACGCACTTTTATTTTGAACATTTAAGTGGGACTGAGGTTGGCGCTGATCCAAGCGGCAACTTCCTCAAAGGGATGATGGGAGCAGAAAGGGATGATGGGGGGGACAGAGGATTGACGGGGGCATAAAGGGAGGACGGGGGATTGTCAAAGGGAGATGGGAACACAAAGGGATGATGGGAGCTCAAAGGGAGGATGGGAACACAAAGGGATGATGGGAGCTCAAAGGGAGAATGGGGGCACAAAAGGATGATGGGAGCTCGAAGGGAGGCTGGGGACACAAAAGGATGATGGGAACTCAAAGGGAGGATGGGGACACAAAAGGATGATAGGAGCTCAAAGGGAGGATGGGGACACAAAAGGATGATAGGAGCTCAAAGGGAGAATGGGGGCACAAAAGGATGATGGGAGCTCAAAGGGAGGATGGGGGCACAAAGGGCTGGCACTTCCATTTTCACCAAGAGGAAATAATCAGCTCAGGAGGGGGCGTATCGTTCTTTCTAATTGGGGAAGGTTAAATGGTAGACACTGAGCGGTTGTTCTCCCTGCTGAGGGATTTTAGATCGTGAGGGCACCGTCTCAGGTTAAGGGGTTGATTATTTGGGATTGGGATGAGGACTCCATGGGATCAGAGTTCTTTGGAATCCTCCGTCGCAGGGGGTTGCAAATGCTCCGTCGTTGGGTCTGTTCAAGGCTGGCTCAGGTACACTTTTGGTCTCTGAGGTAATCGAAGTGATGGAGAACGGGTGGGCGAGTAGATTTAAAGCCGAGGGTTATCCATGATTGTGCTGAATGGAGGAGAGCGCTCGAGGAGGTGTAGGAATTACTCCTGTTCCTATTTCTTCTGTTCTAAAATGCCGGAGTGGAGAGGGTCCGCCTGACGCGGCCAGGACTTTAAAAGCAGATTGTGTGTGCAGGCCAGTTTGTATATCCAGGAGAGCTGAAAGGATAATACCTCAACAAGGACAGACTGGCACTGGAGGAGTTGTACTATACATTGACCAGATTTCTACTGGGGCTAAAAGGGTTATATTATTATGGCAGGTTGCACAGACTCAGTGTATATTCCCTCAACTATCAAAGATTCATTTAACATGAAAGGAGCGGATGGAGAAAAGGTATTTCTTCCAAAGAGAGGAGACCAGAACAACAGGGGAGCATAGAAATGCCAGCTCAGTCAGGGGTGACGTCACACAAAGGGTCATGGGAAATCTGGAACCCTCCCCAGCCCTAACCTCCCAGAAAAACTGGGGGAAAATTTCAAAGCTGAGTTTGAAAGGTTTTTCAGAACAGACGCCAACTTCCAACGTTCACTCAGTTTCTCTCTCCCTGCAAACGCCGCCTGACTTCCTGAGTATTTCCAACATTTCCTGCCCTTATGTCAGATCTCCGGTAGTATCCGCAGTATTTTGTTCTTGAGGTGATAGATTTGGTTGGGTAAAGGTTTTAATCATATAGAACCAAGGAGGGCAGATGGAGTTAAGATACAGGTCAGCCATGATCAAAGTAAATGGTGAAGCAAGCTCGAGGGACTGAATGGCCTCCCTGTGCCAAACATTGGTTCAAATATCCTGGACTTAGCACCTGGATACTAAGCTACCTGCCTCCGCCCGCTTGTCATCCAAAATCTGATCCTTTACATTCCTGATTTTACACGCAAAAGAACCTCAAGAAACTAAAAACAATGCCTCACCGGTCTTCCTGGTAACCCAATTTCACCTTTTTGACCTGGGTATCCCGGCAAGCCCTGTGGAGTAGAAGCAGAGACAACAAACGATTAAATTGCGATTTGTGGGCACAGCTCCCAGCAGGCCTTGGGTCAGTCCAAATGCTGCCCGTTAGAAGCACTGCTGAGAGGGAGACTCCGAGTTCAGTCAGGTGGCTTCCTTCAGGAAACAGGCCTTACCCTCTTCATTTACAACCATTAATATGATGTTAAGCCAAAGGGCTAATTGCAATGTGAGACCATAACAGGGAGCCTGGACCACGAAACTCCTGAATTGTAACAGGGGCATTGATATCCTATGGCCTGGCTTGGCCTGCTAGTGAGGGCATTGCTCACTCTCTGGATACTTTGAACAGGAAGTAGAGGTGGTTAAAGGGTTTGAAATGGTTGTTAAGGGGAAACGAGTTCCTCAGGGGGAACCTTAGGGAGTGACATCAGGAAGCACTCCTTCACACTGCAATATAAAACTCTTCCCCCAAGTAAACACTGTGGATGTTGGGGTCACTTCAATTTTCAAGACAGAGCTATAGGTCTTTGTTGGCTAAAGGTATCAGAAGCTACAGAGCGAAGGCCCATAAATAGAGCTCCTTTTCGATCAGACTGGATCTATCTGAATGGCACCCTTGTGTATTTTTTTACTTTATTCTTTCATGGGATTGGGCATTGCTTGCATTTGTTGCTGTTTCCTACTTGCCCTTGAACTGAGTGGCTTGCCATTTCAGAGGGCAGTAAAGTGGATCTGGAGTCACATGTAGCCTCGGATTTCCTTCCCTGAACCAGATGGGTTTGACATGATCACTATCACTGAGACCGGTTTTCATTTAAATATTTATTAAATGGAACTGGATTTGAACCAATGACCCCAAGTTCTCTGGATTACTAGTGGAGTGACTTTCCCATTATGCCAGAGGCTCCTGGAGTGTTGTGTTTAAGACCCATGCCCTGGACCATTCGCACTACAGAGAAGTTGTTTTTTCTTTACTCATTCACAGGATGAGGGCTTCATTTATTGCCCATTCCTAACTGCCCAGAGTCAATTACATTGCTGTGGGTCTGGAGTCACGTGTAGGTCAGTCCAGGTAAGGATGGCAGTTTCCTTCCCTAATGGACATGAGTGAACCAGGTGGGTTTTTCCAACAATTGGCAATGGATTCACGGTCATCATTAGACTCTTAATTCCAGATATTCATTGAATTCAAATTCCACCATCTGCCACGGCAGGATTCGAACCCGGGTCCCCAGAGTGTTATCTGGGTCTCTGGATTAACAGTCCGGTGATAATACCACTAGGCCATCGCCTCCCCAAATGGGCAAGCTATCGGGAACCTGGAACTTAGCAAGGAGCCTCAGAAGGAAAACAAAGCAAGGCACAACACCAAACTGACAGTAAACTATCACCGGTACAGGAGGAGAGAACACACTTAGAAAAGCAAAAGGAGGGTGATCAGAATCAATTCAACTGACAGCACAATCAATGCTGATTCCATGTTTTGATCAAAGGCCATGTGAGCGTTCAGATTTATTTAGATATTCTTCAAATGCTCCAGAGTGTCAGCTCAGGGAGCATACCCATGGGACAGAGGGAATGCTGGGACCGAATGACCTCTGGTGTGACCTTCCCTCTAAGCCACATAGTCGCCACTCGCAGGGTCCATATACACCGATCAACGTGACCAATTCTGATTTTGGAAGTGGCTGCCACCTATGAGGTGAGTAAACAATTAGAGGGATCTAGCCTCCCTATGATATACCTTCTACGATATGAGCATTGAATAGATTGGGTCGATATTCTCTGCAGTCTAGAGAAAATGATCTCAATGAAACACGTAAGATTCCTAAGAGGCTTTATGGGGTTGATCCTGTGGGGGGGTGTTTTCCCCTGACTGGGGAACTCAGGGTATGGCAGCACAGTCTCAATGTAAAGGATTGTTCAGTTACCATCGAGACTGGTTTTCATTTCAAGGCTTATTAAATGGAACTGGATTTGAACCAATGATCCCATGTTCCCTGGACTACTAGCAGAGTGACATTCCCATTATGCCAGAGGGTTCACTCATGGATGGATGCGCCATCATTCAATACATTTCAGGCTGGAACCAACAGATTTTTGGTTTCTTGGGGAATTGAAGGGTATGTGAGCAGGCACAGTATGTGGGAGTTGAGGCAGAAGATCAACCAGGATCGAGTCGAATGGTACAGCAATCTCGAGGGGCTGAATGGTCTGTTCCTGCCTCACTTCTTCCGGATGGTTCTATGAGAGTAGATCCTTTCATCCGATCCAAGCTGGGGTTGAACAAAAGATTGAATACCTGCAGTGACGCCACTACTGTCATTACCCTATCAACGTATGAGACCTGATTTATAACCCAGGGTCTGACGTTGGTTTATCAAGTGGGGTTTGCTGTTACACAGGGAGCACCTGCAATGCAGGATGGGAATGGCTCTGGGTTCGAAAACGTTTAACTGCATTTTAACCGTGCCTGGCACATCACATTGTCTTAAAGTCGATCAACATCCGTTCAGAAATGGGTAGGGTGAAGTCACTTCTGTCTGTTATAAAGGGCTGGCTATTTTAACCAGTTAAGGTGCAGGATTCTGAAACGAGTGCTGGGCAGACATTGTGCTGTGAAAAGGTGAAGTCGCTGACGAACGCCAGGAGATGACAGATTCCTGACAGCAGGCACCTTACCTGTGGGCCAGTGGGTCCTGGAATGCCAGGATCGCCCTGGAGGGGAGAGAGAGAGAGAAAAAAAAATCACCACAGCTTTAGATCAGAAGTAACTGATACATCCTGACTGCTTTCTCCTCTGGAAGATCTTACGTCAGAAAAGAATCCCTTGGCCTGAAGATAAACTGTAAGTGGGGGGGGATTGCAGGCCCGTTCACTGCTGTTCCATCTTCAACAATACCTCAGAAGGATCGGCTGAATTGGCTTTTCATTTGTTAATGGCTTTTATATGCGAGCACAGCAGCCGAGGAACCAGAGGCTGAACACATCTGCACCCTGTAATCACTCCCCAAATCTGTGAGGACAACAGCTCCTCTGAACCTGGACAACACATTCCTCTCACCTTCCTCATTGAGCAGCTTTTTACCCTTTCTGTCTTAACTGTGTGAAAATTAAACGATTAACGTTGCTCACCGGTACTCCGCTGTAATCAGGCTGGGCTCAGAGACCGTGCAGAGGTGAATAATTGGGGCTCACATTAACATTTTCTGATTTACAATGCAAAACGGCCAACATGAGTTTGTGAACTCTCAGCTCGCCCTGTGTAATATTATCAGGGTTTTCAGTAACAATGTTAGAATGCAGGGGTTGTTTCTTCACTAAATTATTTTATAGCTGGGTACTAAATTAACCTCATTACTGTCCTTCTTGAGCTTACAGTTAGTGCCTTTTCACCCAGAATCTTGGATCCGCAATGTTTATCGATCATATTAATATGTGATATCATACAGTTACATCAGATATTAATACATCACCACCAGCTTCTCGAGGGCAATCAGGGACCAACAACAAATGTTGGGATTGGCTACAAATGTTGGCCTTGTCAGTGACGTCCACATTCGCAGCGGAGGGTCTAACAGAGATAAGTTTTGTCACATCAAGCTCTTGATACCACTCAGTCATCAGCGTCAGTCCTTATCCATCTCACCCCCTTCTTCACAGCTAACCAAGTTCCCAGCTCCTGTCTTTGGAGGAGTTTGACAACATGAATGTAATTCCTCTAACTGGGACTCTATTTCATTGATCAATTGCTCGGCCTGGGAAAGGGGATAACGAAAGAGAATATTTTCTGTTTTAGTCGAAATTGGTGCGGGATTGCACTGTTTGGGACTTGCTGATCACTGCAGTGTTTGCTGCCTTTAACTTAGGGGACAGCCGGGGTTAACCAACCCTCCAGGAATGTTCCAGAATCTCCAGTAAATAAACATTGATAGAACACAGAACAGTACAGCACAGGAACAGGCCCTTTGGCCCATCATGTCTATGCTGACCATGATGCCATTCTAACCTAATCCCACGTGCCTGCACATATCTAATCCCTGCATCTGTCTAAGTACCTTTTCAACGTTGCTATTGTATCTGCTTGTACCACCTCCCCGGGCAGCAGGTTCCAGGCACCCACCACTATCTGTGTTAAAAAAAACGTTCCTAACACATCTCCATTAAACTTGCCCCCTCTCACCTAAACCTATGCCCCCTAGTATTTGATATTTTCACCCTGGGAAAAGATTCCGACTATCCACCCTATCCATGCCTCTCATAATTTTATATACTTCAATCAGGTTTATCCCCTTGGCCCCTGATGCTCCAGTGAAAACAATCCAAGTTTGTCCAACCTTTCCTTCTAGCTAATACACTCCAATACAGGCAGACAGCCTGAAAAAACCTCTTCTGCATGCTTTCCAAAGCCTCCACATCCTTTCTGTCGTGTGGTGACCTGAACTGTACACAATACTCCAACCGTGGCCTATCTGAAGATTTATATAGCTGCAACATGACTTGCTAATTTTTATACTCACTGCCCCTGACCAACGAAGGAAGCATGCTGTACCTCTTCTTTACCACGTTATCCACTTGTGTTGCCATTTTCGGGGAGCTATGGACTTACGTGCCTGCATTCTCCAGTCCCTTGGGGTGGCACGGTCACTCAGTGGTTAGCACTGCTGCCTCACAGCGCCATGGACCTGGGTTCGATTCCACCCTCTGTGTGGAGTTTGCACATTCTCCCCGTGTCTGTGTGGGTTTCCTCCGGGTGCTCCGGTTTCCTCCCACAGTCCAAAGATGTGCAGGCTAGGTGAATTGGCCATGCTAAATTGCCCGTAGCGTTCAGGGATGTATAGGCTAGGTGGGTTATAGGGGGATGGGTCTGGGTGGGATGCTCTGAGGGTCAGTGTGGACTTGTTGGGCCGAAGGGCCTGTTTTCACACTGTAGGGATTCTATGATTCTATACATCCCAAGATCCTGCTATATATCAATAAGGCTCCAGCATTTACTTTACCCTTGTATTTGATCTCCCAAAATACCTCACTTCATGCTTGTACGGATTAAACTCCATCTGCAATTTCTCCTCCCAACTTTCTAACTAATCTATATCCTGCTGGGTCCTATGACTATCCTTTCATTATCCACAACTCCACCAGTTTTCATGTCATCTGCAAACTTACTAATCTGACCCCCTACATTTTCATCCAAATCATTTATATATATTACGAACAACGGAGGTCTCAGCATTTATCCTTGCAGAACACCACTGATCACAGACTTCCAGTCAGTAAAACACCCCTTCACAACTACCCTCTGTCTGCTATGACCCAGCCAATTTTGTATCCAATTTACCAATCCTCTGTGGATCCCGTGGCACTTAGTCTTCTGGAGCAGCCTACCATGAGGAAGGGTCACCGGACCTGAAACGTTAACTCTGATATTTTCTTCACCAATGGTGCCAGGCCTGCTGAGCTTTTCCAGCAACTTCTGTTTTGGTACCATGAGGGACCTTGTCAAATGCTTTAGTAAAGTCCACATAGACAACATCCACTACCCTACACTCAATCTTCCTCACTTCTTTGAAAATCCGAATCAAATTTGAAAGACAAGACCTCCCCTGCACAAAACCATGCTTACTGTCCCTACTGACATAACAGATCCACAGAGGATGCCATATCCCTAGCCCTGCATTCATCCCTAGAACTTCTGGACAACAAAGACACCTACATCAGACTCCTGCTTATTGACTACAGCTCCACCTTCAACACCACTAGCCCCTCCAGACTGATCTCAAAACTGAGAGACCTTGGTTTTGGCTCTGTCCTCTGCAACTAGATCCTCAGCTTCCTGACCCATAGGCCACAATCAGTGAGGATAGGGAACTGCACCTCCTCCACAATAACACTCAACACTGGAGCCCCCAAGGATAAGTCCTTAGCCCTCTACTGTATTCCCTGTACACCCACGACTGTGTTACTAAATTCCGAACAAACACCATCTACAAATTTGCTACTGACACCACCATAGTGGGACGGATATCTAACGATGATGAGACAAAATACAGAAGGGAGGTAGAGGGCTTGGTGACATGGTGCAATGAAAACAATCTGTCTCTCAACGTCGGGAAAACTAAAGGACTGATCATAGAGTTTAGAAATGAAGGAGGAGAACACGCCCCCATCTACATCAATGGAACTGAGGTTGACAGGGTGAAGAGCATCAAGTTCCTCAGAGTGACAATAACCAATGACCTGTCCTGGACTCTCCACATAAATGTAACAGTTAGGAGGCACAAGAACACTTCTTTTCCGCAGGCGTCTCAGGAAATTTGGCATGTCCATAAGGTCCCTCACCAACTTCTTACAGATGCACCATAGAAAGCATACTGTCGGGGTGCATAACGGCCTGGTATGGCAACTGCTCTGCCCAGGACCGTAAGACACTACAGAAGGTGGTGTGCACAGCCCAGACCATCACGGAAGCCAACCTCCCATCCTTGGACTCCATTTACATGGCACGCTGCCATGGAAAGGCAGCCAACATCATCAAAACCTATCGCACCCTGGAAATGACCTCCTACAACCTCTTCCATCAGGCAGAAGATACAGAAGCCTGAACACACACACAAGCAGGTTCAGGAACAGCTTCTTCCTGGCCGTTATCACGACTGTTGAATGGACTGTAGCCTCAAATAATGTAACCTGTATGCCTCTAAGTCTTTTTGATCTGTACATCCTTTGCTTGCTGTGATCTGCCTGTACTGCTCATAAACAAAGCTTTTCACTGTATTTCGGTACACATGACAACAAAATCAAAATCACATAAGTCCATTCTTCTCCAAATGCAAGTAAATCCTGTCCCTAAGAATCTTCTCCAATAATTTACCTCCCACTGATATATGGCTGAATGATATGGATTAGACTTGTTGCCTTTCTTAAACAAAGGAACAACATTAGCTATTCTCCAGTCTCCTGGGACCTTGCCTATGGCTAAAGAGCATACAAAAATCTCTATCAAGGCCCTAACAATCTCCTCCTTTGTCTCCCTCAGTATCTCGGATAGATCCTATCAGGCCCTGGGGACTTATCTAACTTAATGTTTTTCAAGACACCCAACACTTTCTCCTTCTTAATATTGACATGCCACAAAATATCAGTAAAATCCTCTCTACTCTTACCATCAGCAATGTCCTTTTCCTTGACAATTACCATTAAGGACTTCACACACTTCCTTTGGCTCCATATGTAAATTCCCTCCATTGTCCTTGAGTGGACCTACCCTTTTCCTAACTATCTGCTTGCTCCTTATATACGTATAAAATGCTTTGGGATTCTTCTTAATCCTACTTGCCAAGGACACTTCATGGCCCCTACTGACCCTCCTAATTCTTTGTTTAAGTTCTTTCCTCCTTCCTTCTATTCCTCAAGGGCACTGTCTGACTTCAGTTTCCTGAACCTTATATATGCTTCCTTTTCCTTATCATCTAAGAGTTCCTAAATCTTGCAGTCCCAAACTTCCATCCGAACAGGAACATGCTGGTCCTGATCAACTGGCCTTTAAAAGACTCCCACACTTAGTTATGTATGTATCCTCAAACACCCACCTCCAATCCAGTTTCTCCAGTTCCTGCCGAATACTGTTGTGATTAACTTTCCTCCAAATTAGCTTTCACCCGAGGACCAGTGATATCCTTTCCATAACTATCTTAAAACTGACAGAATTATGATCACTGTTCCCAAAATGACCCCGCACTGAAACTTCGACCATATGGCCAGACTCATTTCCCAATACAAGGTCTGTAGCCCCTTCCCTGCATATTGTTTCAAGAAACCCTCCTGGATGTACCCATCTAAGCCTCTGTTAATAAGACACTCCCAGTCAATATTTTGAAAGTAAAATCACCCACGACAACAACCCTGTTGTTTTTACATCGTTCCATGATCTGCTTACATATCCGTACCTCTACCTCCCCCTGGCTACTGTGAGGTCTACAATATAACTCCATCATAGTGATTACATCTTTCTATTTCCTGAGTTCTACCCATAGGGCCTCGCAGGATGAGCCTTCCAAGATGTCCTCTCATAGTGCAGCTATAACATGCGCCTTAATCAGTAATGCAACTCCTCCATCCCTTTTACATCCTTCTCTACCACACCTGAAGTCTAAATCTAAATCCTGGAACGTTGAGCAAGCAGTCCTGTCCTTTTCTTAACCAAATTTCTGTAATAACTACCATATCGTAGTCCCATGTACTAATCCAGGCTGTAAACCCATCTGCCTTACCTGTTATACACATTGTATTAAAATAAGTACACTTCAGACTGCCAGTCCCACTGTGTTCATTAACATGGTCCTGCGGATTCTTATTAATAGACTTACTTGATTTAACCTCTCTCTTTACTTCAATTGCTCCTCATGCTGACCTACTGCTCTGGTTCCCAACCCCTGCTACACTAGTTTAAACCCTCCCAAGTGGCACTAGCAAACCTCCTTGCAAGGATACTGATGCCCGTCCAGTTTAGGTGCAACCCGTCCTTCTTGTACAAAGCCTTCCTACCTGGAAGGGATCCCAATGATCCAGACATCTGAAGCCCTCCCTCCTATACCAGCTCTTTAGCCACGCATTCAGTTGTATTATCTTATTTCTGGCCTGACTAGCATGTGATTCAGGAAGTAATGCCTAGTTTACAAGCCTAGAAGTCCTGTTTATCAACTTCCTACCGAGCTCCCTTTGCAGGACCTCGTCACTCTTCCTGCCTACATCATTAGTACCAATATTGACCAGAGTGTTTGGTTGCTCATCCTTCCCCTCTCAGAATGACCACTTAGAGACATCCTTGACCCTAATACCAGGGAGACAATACACCATCCTGGAGTGTCACTCCTGGTGGGGCACAGATCTGTGCCCCTGACTACAGAGTTCCCAACACTACTGCTCACCTACACAATGATCTTCCCTTCAGGACTGCAAGAGAAATATCAAAAATGCTTTAAAAAACTTGCATGGCTTAATTAGGTCACATGATCAAACCTCCCGGACTCTGCCCAGTCAGCGTTGGGAAGCGAAGGATATCCTGAAGACACAGTCCTTTTACATGCAACCCCTGTCTGTCTGACTTAAACCTGCCTCCAAGTTTTATGTTTTTCATATCTCAGTTTGATGCTGGATTAGAGCAGATGTGCTTCCTATTGCTCCCCATTTTACCAAAAGTACAAACAGTTTTCAATTGAGATTTACAAGCACGGTACCAGAACCGAGAGGTCATCCTCTCGGGGAAAGGTTAAACAGGTTGGGCCTCTCTTGGGACAGAGAGGACTGGGAGGGGTGGCCTGATAAAATTGAGTGCTATTTTAATTATGAAGGAGTTCAAGTGGGTAGATGCAGAGAAGATGTCTCCACTTTCCAAACCTAGGGGGCACAAGTACGAGACAGTCATTAATAAATCCAAAAGGAGAATTCAGGAGAAACTTCTCTCCTTGGAGGGTGCGGTGAATGTGAAACTTGCTATCCACAGGGTGTGGCTGAAATGAAAAGTACAGATGCACTTAAAGGGAAGTAATATTAGAAACTGAGGAAACAGTGGATCTAAGGACACATGTCATTTGGGTAGATGAAGAAGGGAAGAGAGAGACTTGTGTGCAGCATGATTACCAGCATGGACTAGATAGGCTGAATGGCCTGTCTCTGAGCTGTAACATCTCTGTATTTGTAAGGCAGGCCTTTACCAAGCAATCCTTTCCTGCTGGTCCCTCTCACCTTGGATTTCGGCACAGAGTAGGCTGCAGCTGGTCCTGATAATGTCCAAAGTCTTACCTTTCCTCCGATGCCGCTAGCAAGCAGACTGTTCAACGGGGTTCCATCGGGGCTAATGATGAAGCCAGGCTCTCCCCTATCACCCTGGAAAGGAAGGAGAAGACGCATTTATCACAGGGCAGTATCTCGTACCACTCGCCTCATGTAAAGAAGAGATGGGCAGAAATGGTGTAGAGAGTGATCCTGTGGATGCTGAGGCTGGTAGGGTGGGGGGTGATGACAAGGTGGATCCTATCACGGTTCTCGGGAAGGGGGAAGGATAGAATTGAGGGAATGGAACGGGCACGGTCAAAGGTCCGGTCTATCACACTGGGGGTGGGGGGAATCCTGGATCGAGAAAATGGGAGACGTTTTGGAATCACCGGGGTGCGCTTCTTCACTTTAGTGACTCCAGCCATGCACTCTGTCACAGACCTTTCCTTTAGTGCCTTCCTCCCACATGGCCCCTTCACTGCCTTTGTACTCACTTGAAAACCATTGTACATCTCTCTCTTGTGCACGTCTTCTACTTCTTGTTGGAAGTTCATTGTCATGAAACAACCAACTTTTTTTCCCTGTCCATGGATGCTGCCCTGACCTGCTGACCATTTCTAGTCTTTTTTCCGGTTTTTCCAGTCCATTTTGGGAACTGCCAGTGACAGGACAGTCCACTCTGCCCATCTTTTGGGTTATCAAGCAACACTGCGGGACTTACATACTTCCTTCAGTATGTTTTCACAGCTCCTCTCGGTAGGTACTGAATCGCACTGGGCAACGGTTCGACAGGAGTTAATTCTCCAGACCCTCTCCTAAGTTGGAGTTGAGTGGAAACCATTCAATCAGAGGGGATCTGAACAAAACTCAAACCTATCACTGGAATACCTCCCAAACTCTATCGCCCCGAATGACAAAAGCAAGTGGCACTTAGGAACACGTCCTATTGGCTCCAGGCTCCCTTCCCGCCCCAGTCTAAGTTGAAACTAACATCCCTGTTCCTTCACCTACTGTTGGGTTAACAGTCCTCACCTCCCACCGTAAAGGGCTTTGGAGCACGTACTCCCATGTGGACTGAAGCAGTTCAAGAAGGCAGCTCATGCTGCAGAGATAGTAGGAACTGCAGATGCTGGAGAATCCGAGACAACAAGGTGCAGAGCTGGATGAACACAGCAGGCCAAGCAGCATCATAGGAGAAGAGAGGCTGACGTTTCAGGCCTAGACCCTTCTTTTCTGATGAAGGGTCTAGGCCCGAAACGTCAGCCTCTCTGCTCCTATGATGCTGCTTGGCCAGCTCATGCTGCGGGGCAGCTAGGGACAGGTAACAAATGCTGGACCGAAAACAAAGTTGCTGGAAAAGCTCAGCAGGTCTGGACCGGCCAGCAGCAACCAGAAAGAAAGATGGAAATCTCTCCAAATCTGCTCACCGCTCAGTAATAAGAAGCAGTAAACTTCTGCTCTCTCTCCAAGCTGGGTCAGACTCACTCCCGGCCAACAAACTTAGCAACGGAGCAGGGAATGGCACAGTTCAGTGCCATGTGATACATTTCACAGAGTAAATGAGGAGAAACTGTTGGCATAAAGGCAGCAGACTCAGTAAACAGGCAACAGATTTTAAGACGATTGGCTGAAGAAGCAGAGGGCAGAGGAGGAGAATTATTTTTATGGAGCCAGTTGTTTTGATCCGGAATGCACTGGCTAGGGTGATGGTGAAAAGCAGATTCAAAAATAACACACAGAAGGAAATGGGATAAATGCCTGGAATACATAGCACTGGAATGCTAGCGGTCGTTTCATACAAGCCTGGAATGTTGTCCCTAAACCTCTCGGTTTCACATCCCCCCCCACTTCAAGTCCACCTCCATGACCAAGCTTCTCCCGTCATCTCCCCTTGACTTTCCTTAGGTGGCCAGCTGCCAAAGATAGCTGGATCATGCTCCTGGAACACTCGAAGGGCGCCATACGAATGCACGTTTTGACCATTTTTGTTGAAGTGCCTACCTTCGGCCCTGCTGGTCCTGTGATACCCGGGGATCCTTGTTCACCTTTCGGTCCACTGGGACCCTAAAGGAGAGGGGAGAATGTGATCACCATATTTATAAACTGAATGGCACCACAAGCAGTGAGCTACAGATCGCGAAAACGGTTACAGTGAGCAGCCTTCACGTTTGATTACACAGACACATACACACACACACACTCACACACGTGCGCACGCACACACAAACACACAAATATGCGCGCGTGCGCACACTCGCATACACACACACACTCACACACGTGTGCACGCACACACACTCTCACACACATGCGCACGCGCACACATGCACACCTCTCTCTCACACACACACACACACACCTCACACAGACACAAACACACCTCTCTCAC